CTGTTGGTGTGGAACTTTGATACTGAAAGTAGATTGCTCTGCAATTTGACAGTGCTCAGTTTTCCTGATTTCAGCAGGCTTTTAAGTGAAGCTTTGAGGTGAGGAATTTACTAGGGTATCTTTGGAATCCCTGTGTGGTGTATTTTAGCAATGGATCTATAATGTACATTGCAGAATATCTCATTTGCAAATTGATATGATAATGCTGGGAAAGTGGTCAGTCAGTATTCTTACATAAAATGGTGCAGAAAACTAATGATGACAGTATGGTCAGTGTTTGGCTTGATGAGAGATCTGTAAGTACTTAAAAAGGTGCAAAATATTACCAGCATATCTAAGCATATTACCAGCATATATAAAACAGGCTGTGGAATAATAGAGTGTAATTCCCTGTTGCAAGCTCTATATTGGAATTGCTAGTTAGGGTGCAGAATGAATGCCTGTACGCTGCACTCCAATAACTCCAATAAACTCCAATAAATTTCCAATAACTCTTGACAACTAATTTTTATTCCCGATTTGCAACTTCAGGCTTGGAGATCATGTTGTACAACTTCTTGGGAAGAAAAAGGTTTTGCTTAATATCCTTCTGTGCTTATGGAATTATACAGCTTTTAACTGTTTTTATTTTTTTTTTATGGTTTAATAAACAAGCCATTGACACATGATTCATAGAACATGAAACCAAAGGACTGGATTGGTATATTGGTATAATATAACAATCCAATAACAAGCAAGCTACGACTGCTCCTTAATATTGTACAAGAAAGAGGTAACTTAAAACAGGGATTTTCTTTCAGGGATTTTGAGGAGGGGGGAAATGAAACATTATACAATCTACCAAAATGGAATTAATTGTGGCATAGACTCTTAATTCTTGGAGCCTGCTACTATCTGGGATTAATTAGTAATTAGCAATCTACTATTCTCTACTTTGAAATATTTAATTGCTATAATATTATATATAAAAATTTGGGGAAATGCATATAGATACAGTATACATGCATGCATTTGGAAAAGTTGAATGCAAGGAAAGTATTTGTAGAAAAATCTATATCCTGAAAAAAATGGATATTATGTATGTTACAATACTGTACTGTATTGTATGTATTTTAAGAAAGATATGTATGTAAGATATGTATTTTAAGAAAGTTGCACAGAGTGGTGCATATATATAGGATAGAATTAGAAGTATCACATCTGATTTAATCAATTTGATTTTCAGTTGTTTTCAAAGTTATTGGTTTATCTTGTACGTTGTACAAACCAAAGGGTATTTTCATTTGTTTTTCTTGAAAAAACAAATGAAAAGGACATGATTTATAGGTGTTCCTATCCCAGTGGTAGAATACTCCAGGTCAAGATGGGGGAAGTAGCATACTTGGTTGCAAATAAGAATATGAATATAGTGAGTATAATAGTAACCTGGTGGAATGGGGTGAATCAGAAGTATTCCAATCATTTCTGGATACAAGTTTTATAAAAAGGACAAGGAAGACCTCATGGGGGAAGATGTTGCTCTTCATGTCAAGGAAAATATGAAATCTAGCATGGTAGAAAACACTGGAAGACCAGATTCCTCTGTAAAGTCACCATGTATGGTTGCAATATCTGGCCACAAATGTACATTAGATCTAAGGATACACTCTTGCCCTCCTGATGAAAATATGGAGAGCAAACATGAGATGTTGAAACAAATCAAAGAGGCGTGCAAAATAAAACTTATTGTAGCATAGGACAATCATGATCCCTAATTAATAAGGAATAATAACCATTGACTAGGCTGTAAGGGTTGGCATATATGCAAATGGGAAACTAACAGCCTGGTTCAACACAGTCACATTTGACTATAAGTGGAGAAACTTCTAAAAAATAAGGAAAATGATGTAAAAGAGACTTAAAGTCAAGAGGCTAAATCTCCTCATAGTGGCTGAGGATTATTTAAAACCAGAATAAGAGAAGCTCAGCTAAAATGTATTCTGTAGTGAGTGGGTAGGACTAAAGAGTTATGAGGGACAAGAACAACAAAAATTGTGAGACTTCCACCAGTTACATAAACATAAATGATGCTAGATTAAACACATCCTATGAAGAGAAAGATTCCTTCTTTCTGCATGACACAAATTTCTGGATCCAATCCAGTGGTAGAGAAAATAGAAGCTATTTGCTGGAGAAAGGGGCACGTTCTTATGAAAGTCCATGAGTGAAACTAGGAAAGTAGCTTCTTGTCCCTTTTTCTCACAATGCTTGAGGTGTGTATGTGTCTCTGTGTGTGTTTAATAATACTTTTGAGACATTTATGCTAACTTATGCTGCTTTCTATGATCAACAAATAACTTTAATTTGACCATAAGCCTTAATAAAAGGTTGGCATTTGCAATCTTAGGAAAAAGCCCACACTCACTCACACTGATGATGAGTGATGGAACATCTGCAAGCAAACAACCAAACTCAGAGAGCACCAACAATGTAAGAATGTAATCTAAAATCTGATCTCTCAATATTGACCCTATTTTGTACAACAGCAGCAACAATCATCATCATCATCATCATCATCATCATCATCATCCACAATCATAATAAAGATTGGAATTTTCTTTGTGTAGCTGTGTTTATCTTTTGCTGGATGTATTCTAGTAGGGAATGAACAATCATCTGTCAGAGGTGCTTTACTATAGACTCCTTTAGTGAGCAGAGGGCTCTACTGGATTATCTAAATAGCAGTTTTAAACTCTGAAATTCTACTCATGTTCCACAGTATAGTCAAAATGAGTAAAAATCATTTATCTCATTGTCCTCTAAAGGGAACCTCAAAATACATTTTTAATCTTGATGGGCCCAAAGTAAAGAAAGTTAAAGGATCGTTTCAGAAATATTTTGGCTACTTCTTTTTCCTTTAAAGAATATATTTGAAAAAGGCCTCCATTTACTTAAAGTAGCATTCATTTTAAACATACTCTGGGCCTTCTTTGCTTGCCTTTTTAAATATGTTTTTGTTTCATCATTCTTCAGGACTGACTGTTCTGTGTGGACATGTCATCAAACACTGTAATGTAACTCTGGAAATTTTGGACCTCTTATGGAGCAGAGTACCTTTTCAGTGTAATTGCTTTATATAAACTTATCTCTTTATAACACAACTTTCTGTATTTCTGTTGTGATTAGTCGTACTGTAAATACCAATTTATATGGCTTTTTTTTTTTTTTTCTTTTGGTCTTTACTCTTAATCTGCTTTGTCACTTGAGAGGTCAAGTCACCAAATGATTTGCAGAACTGTAGCTTTCTTTCATCAGAACATACTGTAAACTCCCTTTCCTGATAATGCTGATAGATTTGTATTATATTTGTTTGTTCTTCATATTGGAGAATATAAGCTGATTGAAAACAGCAGCTGTTCTTATAACACACTCCTCTAAATGATGTGTGTGTGTTCTCTACTGACTGAATGAAAGTTGTGAAGAATACTTGTTCTTGAAGTTATTTCTCATTCAATTTTTCCATAGAAATAAATGTAGTTTTGCCACAGAGAGTACTTTTATCTAGGGGTCTCAGACAATCCTTCTCCCTCCTGCATTCATCTTGCCTACATACAGATAGGCAGAGGGTTTGGATCCAGATAAATGTGTGTGCAGTTAATTAATGTCCTGTAACACTCTTCCCAGCCATTGTAAAGCTCTATATTTGCTGAACTTTCATCTACAAGTTTTCAAGGTTAGCTGTGATAAGAAGAGAAACAAACAGGAAGGTTGGAGCAAATGGGAAAGTTGGCCCCTTGTGCAAACATTTATCTTGATGCATTCAAGTTATATTCTGAAAGTTAATTCTTTATTTGGTTATCCACAGATCTTCCATTCAACTTTTTAAAGACACCATTAAATGTGGTCAATTATATACATTCACATTTTAAAAATTATATCTAAGGGATGCATCTTCCCATTGCCATCTTCAGTTGTTCCATGGAAGTATAGAACAATTTAACTATGAACAATTTCCTCAGCTGACATTTTCTGTCACTATTTGATTCATTAAATAGAAAATGTATTTTCAAGTTTCTCAAAGCAAACACATATCATTATAATTGTGATTTTGGTAATGTTTTTTTTTCTAATTATTGTTCTTTATATAAATTACAAATTAGTATAATGATTAAATGTATAATTAATATTTCACTTGTCTGTTATGTTTGTTTTGTTATATTGCCTTTAATTCATTTTTAAGACTGAAATAATATAGGAATATATGAACATAAAATTATCTAATAATTCATCTTGATTGGTAGAAAAGAGAATGTTAACACATTTTGTAAGCTTATTAACTTATGTTTATTTTCTTCTAATATTTGTATAGTATCATTTGTTTTATTTGGTACATTTATATTCTGACTTTAATCTGTCATGGAGAGGACACTGCATTTCTAAACAAACTTGCATTTAGGAAGTTAATAGATCCAGATGTCCTCAGTTTTAACCAGAATGCTAGATCATGTGCCTATAAATAAGTTTCTAAATGACCATGGTTTGAAAACAGCTGTCAGAAAGTATCTTCAGAATAGCTACTTTAAAGTCCATTCATAGACTGTGCAAACATAGTTTAACATGGATCACCAAAGGCCCATTATGTACTACATTAAATTTCCAAGAATGGATCAGAACACATTGTTTGGCCAGTTTGATAATGTCTTGTTTCTAGATGTTACTGGAGTGGCATGGAACCAATTCATAGGTTGCTAAACTCCTTTGGTAACTTTGGAATGTGATTTAGAAAAGAATCAGTTGCTAATGCAAAGAGGGAATAATTATATAACAAATTATAGGACAGCTGTTGATTTTATGGGTCATATTTGCAACATGCTGAAATTGATCTATTTCTTTTGAAATGCAGTCCTAAGCCTACTTACTTGGTAAGTAGAACATAGTTTTGAGCTAAAAGTTTAGATTTAGTTGTTCTTCAAAAGATTGGATAATTCAGAGATATTTCCTGTTTCTCTTTTCCCTTCTAGGGCCTTCAAATCACCACAGCCAGTCAACTCTGAGACCACCTCTTCCACCACCTCACAATCATACTCTATCCCATCACCACTCTTCTGCCAACTCCCTCAACAGGAACTCCTTAACAAATCGACGGAACCAGATCCATGCACCAGCTCCTGCACCAAATGATTTGGCTACCACTCCTGAATCTGTCCAATTACAGGATAGCTGGGTGCTGAATAGCAATGTGCCACTTGAGACCAGGTAGAAAAAAATGCTGATATTTGCAGAATGGTGTTGAGACAATTCATGAACCTAGTTTGCTGAGATTTCTAGAACAGGAACCATTCTTTGGATAGCATGTTCTCATAAGTCATATTTATATTATTTGTTTGTTTGTTTGTTTGTTTATTTATTTGATTTATGTAGATGCCCATCTCACATAAGTGATTTTGGGTGGCTTACACTAAAATAGATAAAAACAGTACGATACTTAATATAAAATAAAAACACATAGCAGCCAAGCTTCATAAATAACCATCAACAAAGCCAAGTGACAGTCTCTATCATACTCCTGGGGCCCCAGGCCTGGGCACAAAACCAAGTTTTTAGGACCTTGCAAAAGGCCAGCAGGATTAAGGCTAACCTAATCTCAGATGGGTGGGCACCACAGCAGAAAAGGCCCTCCTCCTGTAGCTAAATTATGTATAGCCCTTCATAAAAGGCCAGGTGCTAAGGATCTGGATGTTAAAGATCTAATAATTTCAATCAAACAATTTTAAGCAAGTGCATAAGTCCTTCATCATCATCAGGACTTTGCAGTGTTTCACTTTGTTTGAACTGAACCCATAAAAAGAGCCAGTGCTAGTAAAAATAATGCTACACCCAAACACTATAATATGACTGGATACAAATATTTTATTTGGTGTGCTGTATCAATGACACTTTCATCTGGAATAATATAACCAAAATCCTAATTTCTCAACTGTAGTTTTATTTAATGAATGTTGATCAGTTCAACTTATCCTTGTTGAATACATGTGTATTTGTCAGACATGTTTTGTATACTTAACAAATAAAATTCATGTCACGTATTCTACTCCAAAGCACAGGAAGGTGTTACAAGAATATTCTGACTAAGTGTTACTAATAAATTATGCATTTGGCCCTTTCTGAAGTAATAAATAAACTAATTTGAAAGTAAATATTTTGGAAGGCTGGAAGAACAATCACTGATTCAAGACAGTCCAAAGTATAATTTTAATTTACACTTCATCTAATGTGCAGTCTTATTTAAATCCCTCTTGTATACTGCAAGGCAAACACTAATATTTTTAAAAAGTCCTGTGTTGGTTGGTTGGTGATTAAAAAAAAAAACTTTCTATTTTTTTTTAAATACTGTACATTATTTTTGCATTTTGCTGTTTCTTAAATTTCAGCATCCATTTATAAATGCAGCAAAGATATAGACGTATTACAATACAGAATTCTAAAGAGTTTTGTATTGCAATAAATCTACACTTTTTTTTCTGATTTTGTAAATATAGACTAAAATTTCTTAGTTTCTAACTTCTCTTACCATTCCTTCTAGCTCTCTTGTGTACATCTGGACACAAAGGCCAGCAGGATTAGGGCTAACCTAATCTCAGATAGGTGGGCACCACAGCAGAAAAGGCCCTCCTCCTGTAGCTAAATTATGTATAGCCCTTCATAAAGGACCAGGTGCTAAGGATCTGGATGTTAAAGATGTTAAATGAGAGCCCTTCTCCCATTCCTAGGAATACATTTTTCCCCCTAATAGCTACCTGTACATATCCTCTGGGGGTAGATTGAAATGTTTGTTTATTTATTAGATTTTTAGACTGCCATGATTTCTGAAGCCATCATGTAAAACTCTTCATATATGGTGAACTTTTATTTGTCATCATTGTGCTCATGAAAATATGGTCTGAACGGGGTAGAATAATAAATATGGCTTCTGATATAACCAAAAAAAAAAAAAAAAAAAAAAAAAAAAAAAAAAAAAAAAAAAAAAAAAAAAAAAAAAAAAAAAAAAAAAAAAAAAAAAAAAAAAAAAAAAAAAAAAAAAAAAAAAAAAAAAAAAAAAAAAAAAAAAAAAAAAAAAAGCCTTCATTTGATACTCTGCAGCCTATATTATATTGTAAGAAAGAAGAAAGTCTATAATGCAGCATGAATAGACTTACAAAAATACTTACAACCTGCATAGATTTGGCATATCTAAGCACTATTGGAACATAGAATATGGACCTCTTCAAACCATGAGGTAACACAAATATGGTCTCAGGTCAGCAGGATTCAAGGACACAGTTGATCTTGGCAGATATGCACATGGTGCCAAATCAAAACAAGATGCCAAATGGCAACGTGCACAATGGAATTTGTTGCACCTGTAGATGCTAAAGAAAGGAAATAAAGTATTTATACAGCCAGCTTCAAAGACCTGATGCATTGCTCTTTGACCAGGTTTCATCCAGAGTGTATCAGGTGAATATCATGGACAAATAAGTAAATCTGACACTATGTTCTGTGACTCATCCTAGAAAAAAATGTGGCAAGGTTTAATTATATACTTCTCACTATTTTCTTTTACTCCTGGTATGTATATGCTTGAATACCATAGACAAAGCATTTAAGAATATGGATTTTGGGAGTAAAAGAAATTAAAATGAGAACATAAGAACCTGCCTTAAACAGAATTTGGCTATTAGTTTAAGCCAGTGTAATCAACACTGACTTGTAATGTCTCTCCAAGCTTTCAGATATATTTTTTTTCTAGTCTACCCACCCAGAAATGTTGAATATTAAATCTGAATCTTGCTACTTTTGGAATCATATGAGATTTTATCTTCATCACTACAGTGCTGTTGAGTAGCTTTGAGACTGGTTCATGAAATGCTTGGAAAGTTGAGAATAGGATCCAAAAGACAGTGAAAGCAAAGATAGAAAAAAAAATCCAATATTTATAGTAACAGAACATCAGCTCTGCTACATAATTTTCCTGAGCATATTTCTTTGACTCAAGAAGGTTGTAAGAGATAAGCATGTTTTGGCCAGTTGCCCAGACCTTGTTCTTTGTTGCTGCCAAATTTGTTGAGAATAAGTCAGCGATGATGTGTGGCTTAATCTTGGATAGTATGGTGAATCTAGCATTTAATTGCTGAGAATTGCATTGATGAAAATACTGTTCTGTTTGGACACACTGAATCTTTGAAGTTTCTCATTTCTTAAACTAGACGGCAAAGGGTTATAAAGCACTTAGCTATTTCAGAATTGTATGGATTTTTTACCTATGTATGGATGGCCTGCCTGTAAGATTTGCTGTGAAACTGAGGTTTAACTTAATATATTTTTCTCAAAGCATGTTCATGAATTTTTCTTGATCATAGCTACAGAATCTTTGAAGTTTTTAAATTTTAAGTGTAAATGTCTAAGCTCTAATCACAACTTAATTTTATTCAAAAATACATTTAATTTCTAAATCAGCCTTTAACTCCCAAATTAAAGAGTTTATAGTTGGAATAATCAGTGGCAGAATTTTGTGGAAAGGATTGAAATGGCCTTTAAAAAAAAAGTAGCTTAATTGTATGAAGCTATCCTGTACCATACATAGACTGTTATTAATTATTCAATAATGGCTTGTGAAAGGGAAGAGAGAATGAATGTATTCACTGCTGCTTTGTAGGCTAATGGAACTTCCCCACCATACAGTGGAAGGAAATTCTCCCGTCTATTGAAATGATACTGTATATGCACTAGAACCTTGGTTCAAAAAGCACTGACATTCATGCCCTTGCCATGTAAAAATTGCCTTTTGATATGGATCCTAACTTAACTTTCAGTCCCTTCTTTCTCTCTCTACTCATACTTCCTGAATCTGTCAGTTACTCATATCAGCTGAATGGCAAACCTTCATCCTTTCTTTTTTCAAAGTTGGAAATGAAATTGGATATAAATAGAATGATAACTTTTAAGAAAGTAGCAGAACTCTTTCTCATAGAACAACATAGTTAAGAAAACGTCTTCATCATGTTGTTCAGATTTTTTAATTGTTATCCCAGGATAGATTTTTCCTCCCATTCTTTTCTAAGATTGGGAAAAAAAGAAGAAGATATACTTGTTTCTAATTTAGCAAATGTCATTAAACTTTAAGAAATTTAACTTTTTTTCCATGAATCACTAAACTCATATCAGCCAATTCTTGATCCATAATTTGTCTCCTTTTTTGGGACTATTTCCATCTATATATTTTCATCACAGAAGCAGAGAAACAACTGAACCCTTTCACCTGAAATTTTGCTTTATGGCTTTAACTTATTGAATTGACATTCTGTTCCCAGCTGACCATAATGTTTCACGTTGCACTGCACTTTAATTTTGCAGTTTTCTTAGCCTTCCTTGAAATGTGGCAGCTTATTAATCTCAATATTGGGGCTTCTTCATATACACAACCTACTTACAAAATATGCTGCCCATTTATTACAACAAAGACTTTTCTATTTCGATTATGTTCTGCACATCTTTTTTCCCTTGTTAACAAAGAATAATGCAATTGTACAGTATTTAACTTCTCCCCAGATATCTAGAGTTAAGAATTTTAAATTCTTCAGTGCCATCTTAGTAATGAGATATATGTTTTCCCCTAGCTAATGCAAAATGATAACATAAGCAAACAGGATTTCTCAACCACCTTGTATTTTGCTTTGATTTTTGCAAATTTTTTTGCAACTTTGGTAGAATTCCCTTGAAAGGTAGAGCTTTTTCTTCTGGAAGAGAAATTATATTTTGTGTAAAGTGATATGAATATGTCATCAAGACACTTATTATTTCAGTAGTTTCTTACTGCACAGTTTTAATATTTGTGGCTATACTTATACAGCATGTTTAACTGGGTCATGTGGGGTCATATGATCAGCTAAACCAAGTCAGCAGTAGTTTAAAGAGGGTTAGTTCTAACCCCAAACAGCTGTATTATACAAATATAGAAGAAAGTTGAGAGCTAGCAGGGAGACAAGTGCCTAGGGCACTTCACAAAAACACCCTCCTTCCTCTGGTTCATCTACTTTATACCTCCTGAGGCCTCCAAGAGGTGAACAGGGGCAAGAAGAAGTGGGTTGGGTTAGGTAATCCCCCCCACAAGTTTTGATTAACTGGCCCAATCAAGTTACTGAAATTTGGGGGAGACAGTTATTAAAAACACACACACATAGAAGCAAGTGATAAGGAGTGACAGGCTCATAGCCATG